TGGTCGGCTAATTGAAAGCATCGGCGGAGCCAGAGGTCGCACCGTTCATGCAGATGGGCACCTAGTGTTGAATGAGGCGGCGATATCGTCAGAAGTGACGGCAATGACGTCGGATATGGCGGTGGCGACAACAAGGTACGTTGGATGAGGTCGGAGATGGAGCGGCTGGTGGCTCTGACGTCGGTGGTGGAGGTGGAGGTGGCATCAGAGATGACTGTGTTCTATGCGAGAATATTGTGATGGACCTCTCATATTTTCTTTTATTATTTTATGTTGTACGTAGTATTATTATTAAATAAACTACGTACAACATGTTTTACCTCTAGCTAGGGGATGATCTCATTTGTGTAAAGTTATATTACATTATTATTATTATTATTATTATTATTTGGATCAACCAAAATAAGCATGCATCACAAAAACGGAAAAACCACACCGAGAATTAAAAACAATCACAAGTCAAAGTTGCTTGTAAATTAAATTAAAAACATTCATGAAAATTAAGAGATATTCCTAATGTCGATGAAAAATCAGCAATGAAGCAATGCACTACACTACTTTCATCAACACATTCTTCAATTGATGGTAAAATTTTGGCAGCTCATGTATTTTAAATAGATGGACTTGGGCTTGGCAAAATGTATTAATAAAAATAAGGCTAAAGTGTCAAATATGTTCATATACCTTTCTGGATTGCTTAATTTGCCTCATGAACTCAAAAAAGCTCCAATTGTGCAGGTCACAATCCGATCACTGCCACGTCACCCAGTAGGGTTCCAACTGTACATGTGAAGTGACAACTTAAGTGATCAAGTAAACCCTTGAACCTGATTAAATCACTCAACAAATCCTTTCAACTTTAAAAACGTCAAAATTACGAAAAATAGAAACAAAAAATGAAAATAAAAAATAAAAAACAGAATTAAAAATAAGTCAAAAATATAAAAAGTATAAATATCAAATATTTATATTTTATGGTAAATTCAAAACACAAATAAAACATAAACTAAAAGAAATTAATTCGTATATATAATGAATAAAAAAGACTTCAATATATTTATAATAAATAATACAAATATGTAGTTACTATGTTTATATTTTAATTCTTAAATATGAGTAATTTTTATATTACTATAGATATAAAAAAGTGTAATTAGTAACTTTGAAAAAAATAACTACATAAAAATTGTATATTTATTTTTAGTATATTTTTAAATAAATTAAAAAATATGAATTGAAAAAATACAAATCGATAATTTAAACATAATGCTACGTATAAATTATCAAACCTGAAACCTAAAATTTGTGTTATATTATAAAATAAAAATTTAAATATAGTTGGTTAAAATACACTGTTTAGTTCTTATATGAAATATACATAGTAGTTATAAAATATGGAAATAAAGTTACAGAATTTTTTAGTTTATATTTTATTTTTTATTTTGAATTTAACGTAAACGATAAATATTTCATATTAATATATTTTATATTTTCGGCATGTATTTTATTTGTAATTTTATTTATTATTAATTATTTATTATTATTATTTTTTATTTTATTTTGTTTCAAAATTTTGACATTCTATAGGGTTAATGGGGTAAATTGAGCGATTCAGTTAGGTTCAGGGGCTTATTTGACCTCTTAAGTTGGCACGTCACATGCACAGTTGGTACCCTACCGGTTGACGTGGTGGTGACCGGATTGAAACCTGCAAAAAGTGAATTTTGGATATTTTTATTGAGTTCAGGGTACCAATTGAAACTTTTTTGGGTTCAAGGGGCAAATTGAGCAATCCGGAAGGGTATAAGGACTCATTTGACCCTTAAGCCTAAAAATAATGATTTTATTATATACGGAGTATTATATAAAATCTGTTCGGTTGAACTGACCTTTTGAATTTCAAGAACCGATACCGAATCGAGATCGACCTCGACTATCGATTTTCGGGTCCCAACTTTTTTAGTTCGATATTTTTCGGGTTTTTTAGGTTCAAAATGCCAGCTCTACTAAAAGTTGCTCACGGATCCACGTTTGGAATAAAATGTGTTTTTTTTATAAATAAAATAATTTTGAGAGAATTCTCTAAATAGGAGTAAAAAAGTTTTGAAATTCCAAAATAGGACTATCATGTTTTTTATTCCTTGAATAAGAGTAAATTTCTGCCAAGTTTGGCATTACTAGGCTTTAAAACATGGCATTTTTTTCCAAACTTGGCAGATTACTCCTATTTAGAGAATAAAAAACATGATACTCCTATTTTGGAATTTCAAAACGTTTTTGCTCCTATTTGGAGCAATTTCTAAATAATTTTCCTCCATGCCTATCATACTCATAGTCTCAAGTCTGATGCCAGTAGCGATGGACTACAATTCGATTAATCAAAATTGATAGAGTACGTACAATTTTATTAAATTACATTAAATCGTAAACTACCCAATTCTTGTAAATATATTTATTCCGTACATTTTAATCCGTTAAGTCATCCCATTAGGATATGTGTTACTCCGTATGTGTATTGCCTGTCCTCTAATTTTTTTTGATAAAGTGCAGGTGATTCAAGTTGACCACATTCACATTTAAGATTCTCCTAAACAAAATTAAAATGCTAACGAGAAACTATTGTAATATCTAAAATTTGGAATATGATATTGATATTGAATTGTAAAGTATTATTCAGTAGTAAAGTCTTCATGAAATAAATCCATATAAATGTTTGTTAAAATAATATGTTTTTTTTTAAATGAACAACGAAAATCTGACGTCTAGTAGTTATAGGAGTTTCTGAGTTACCAGCACGGGTAGCTCAGTTGGTCGAGTGGTGGGAGATTTGGAACAATGGACCAATGTTCGAATCCCCGCAGCGACCGTGTGGAGGTTACATAACCTGAAATAAGGCTGGGCTTCTGGTGCGCACGGGTGTATGGGCCTACTGCCATTCTGCTGACTGAGTCACCGTGACTAACCTCTCCACCATCCTGTCGGGTCGGGATGGAGGCTCCTGGGGTGGGAGATTCCACCTTTTTGGAACAAAGGAGTTTCTGAGTTTTGGCACCATATGAAGAATATTTATGCCACATACTTGGTAAATACTCCGTGATTAAGTGGTTACAAATTAAATGTTTTTATAAAGGAGAATTTGACTTTACACCTTATTTTTTGATTGATATTGGACTTTGCATCCCCCATTTAAAAAAATGATTTTGCACCTCATTGCACTTAAAAATTCTTTGACTTTGCACCCACCCGTAAGTGTTTCTTCACAAAATATTATGTGTTGAGGTTCAAAATTGAATTTATTTCAAAATGAGATACAAAGTCTAATATCAGCTAAAAAGTGAGGTGCAAGCCAAGTTTCCCCTTTTACAAATTAGATTTATATTAGTTATAAACTTGATAAATGTTACTCTGTAATTAATTACTCATGATTCATTCAAGGCTCGTCTTGCATCAGATGCTTCGCTCTCAACTCGCTGACTCATCATAGTTGACGAAATTCACGTGAGCGTTGCATGACAAATTGGATCTCGTGACAACCAGATTGGAGTTTGATCGCATAATCTCAATGATCAATAATTGAGATTACAATATTTATTTAATGAAAATGTTTTGAAACTTAATGAGGAGTTCCAATGCTCATTGAAGATGCTTGATCACATAGCCTCAATGTTTAATAGTAGAGAGCATGATATTCAATGAAGATGTTAAAATACTTGATAGGTTTAAATTTTTTAAACTTAATCGGAGAGTTCCAACAATCAATAGATGAGACTTGATGTTTAATGAAAACGTTTTGACGCTCACTGAGCAAAGCTTATGATTTTCATATGAATGCATTTTTCAAAAGTATAATATTAAATTAGATTAGTAAATTGGAATTAATAGAAGTTTATTATAGACATAATTTAAAAAAAATATATAAAAAATGAAAAAATGAATTAAAATATATGAGGTGGATTTTTTGATATTCAATATTAGATTGTGATACTCAATATGATAGACTTGATGCTCAATTAACCAAAGTCATAAATTTCAATTAAATTTACAAATATACTCCCTCCATCTCGAAAAATAGTTCCCGGTTTCTTGTTTGGGTCATCCCAAAAAATAGTTCTTATCTCTCTTTTTGGAAAGTTTTGTGTGGTTCACATTCATTTACATTTTTTTATTCAACCACAACCATGCATTTTCACCTTATTTCCACTTTCTTATGGGACATAAATGGTACTACAATTTACCGGTTTTACGAATTAAACAATACTTAATACGTAGTACTACCTCCGTCCCGATGGACTTTGGTAAGTGCAAAGTAGGTGATAAATAAGAATAGTAAAAAATGTGTGGTTGAGATTTGTGCAAAGGAGAAAGAAATGTAGAGAACCACAAATTAATTGATTTAATAAGAAAGTGTCATAATTTTTCGAGACAAATTAAAAGAGAAAGTTGGCAAAGTCCAACGGAATGAAGTGACTATTAAACTATGGGAGATTTCCCAAAATAGGAGTAAATGAAGTTTAAAATTCCAAAATAGAACTACTGCTACCTCCGTTCCCATTTTAACTTCCAAATGGGTTTGGCACAAAGTTTAAGATAATGAATATTGTGTGATGGAGAGTTGTGCAGAGGAGAGAAATTTGTAAGAAATGTTGTGAACCACAAATTCTTTACCAAAAAAGGAAAATGGAAGTTTTAATTGGAACGGACGAAAAAGGAAAGTTGGAAGTTTATTTAGGAACGGAGGGAGTATATTTTTATTCCCGAAACAAGACTAACTTGACAGTATTTACTGTCATCTTGTAGGCGTGACTTTCAAATAGTTGCAGTACAGTGCATTTAACATGATAATATTTATTATAATTAATGACAATATTTTTCAATTATGGTACTATTTTTCATACATAGCGGTAAAATCTCCTATTTCGAGAAGAAAAACATAGTAGTCCTATTTTTGAATTCCAAATTTGATTAACTATCACGTGTCAAATCCTCAAATGTTCCTCAGTCTCTTCCGGTTCCACGTGTCCTCACGCGACTTAACAAGTTTCACACTTCAATTCGTACAGCCCCCGTTTGGCCGTTTCTTCTCGGCCAATCTCATTTCTCTCTATCGACTGATCTCCGATGATGTGCTCAGGCTCCGATTCCGACTAGTACGATGACGCCAGAAGCCTCCGTCAGGACTTAGCCAATTCATCGCCAGTCACCACCAACAGCGTTACTCTCCAAGCCTATACCAACTCGTGTTTTGGTCGGTTTTATTGTTTCAATTGCAGTAAAGCCATCCGAATTCGAGATGGTTAAAAAGCAAGTTCCCGATTGGCTCAACAGCTCCCTTTGGTCTTCTCCAATTCCTCCTGCAGAGACACCTTCTCCGCCGCATCATCAACAACCACCAGTTCATCCGCCGTCTACAATCCGCGGCGATGATACCGCTAATCGCCCCTCCCGTGCCGCCAACAAATCCACCAACACTGTTACTGATTATCCCGTCGACCGCCCGGTGATCCCCATGCCTCCTCCTACAATTAGAACCGATGCGCGCCGTCATAAAGCAGAAATTAGGGATTCGGTAGGCAGTAATGTTTACAATAGTGATGAAGACAATGCGAGCTCCGCAGGCAGCTCTACCACATCTGTCTCCCATGCTGTAGCCAGCTCTTTGGCTGATGATATTTCTCGCCAAGCACAGCTTTGCCAAGAGGTGTTTTTCTCCCTCCACTACACATTTTATTTTGCTCGGTTTTACTACAGGTTCGTAGTTTATGGATTTCCCTAGGCGTCTAATTTTTCCATAGTATGCATGAGGAATTGAGGATTAGTTCATGCACAACGTTATATTCCCCTGTTTACTTTTTACTTCTCTGAGGAATTACTAGATCTATCGGTTTCTTCATGTAATAGCTGTCAAAAAAGGTCATAAATATGGGTGAAGTTCGGAAGCTGGCATCACAAGGAATTCCAGATGGAGCTGGCATCCGGGCAACAGTATGGAAGGTATAAACGTTAATTAAAGCTATAGGTTAAATTAGCTCTTAGTTGGATACCTACGATTTATAATTGAAAATTGTGAGCAAGATAGATCTTTAGATAATGTGTATGTGTATTAAAAGACATGTGATGACTGGTTGCAGCTACTGTTGGGCTATCTTCCAATTGATAGATCATCATGGCCGTCAGAATTGACCAAGAAAAGGTCCCAGTACAAACATTTTAAGGAGGATCTTTTGATGAACCCTGTGAGTTCTTGAGCAATTTTATGTGGAAAAAACAATTTATATATGAAAACCATTTCAAACCAATGTTGCTCTTACTTCTGCAATGTCTCGATTACTTGGAAATTCTGATTGTTGTCATGGCTAGGCAGTCAGAGATTACAAGAAGGTTGGAGAAATCAAGTATTGATATTAATGAACCAAATGGTGAAGGAAAGGGTTTACTCTCAAGGTCAGAAATTACACATGGAGAACATCCTTTGAGTCTTGGAAAAAATAGCATATGGAATCAATTCTTCCAGGTATGTTGTGCATTACGGAGTATTATTTTTCTACTAATCAATTATAGTTTCTACTCTCAAACTTCTTTTTCTACTAGCACATTGGGACTAAGGCTTGGATGTTGTTGTTCTCTGCAACCTCACCACATAGATAAAAAAAGAGCAGCCTGGTGCGCGAAGGCTTCCCCGCAATGTGAGGATCCTGGGAAGGGTCCCACGACAAGGGTGTACGAGGGGAAAGCCTTCCCCAGTCCAACTTTGACAAGAGACCGCTCCAAGACTTGAACCTATGACCTCTTGGTCACACAACACCTTAACCGGTGCGACAAGGCTCCCCTTCCCTCACTACACAATAAAAACCTAAAAATAAAAATAATAAGTTATCGAAAAACAGAACTACGACAGAGCACTATAGATATATCTTAGTGATATCCCGTGGGGTGAATTTTATGTGGAAGAACTTATAAATAGATTTTATAAATAGATTATGTGAGCTTAAGCTTACTTTATAATCTTATAAAATCACATAAAGGTGTTTGGAATTGTGTAACGGTTGTGCTATGGGCCTATGTCCTATGTGGCGAATGGCAATCAGATACAACGGAGGCATAAGCAACTAACGGATGAACCAAGAATAAGAGAAACATTATATGTATTCCATTAGAATTTGGATGCATTAGATGATTTTTAAAGTTTCTGTAATAATGTGCATTTATAATGCTATATGTGGCACTAAACTAGTAGGGCTTCCATCTCTAGCTTTCCTAAACAACTAATAGTAGTAAATCATGTAGCTTCCTACTACTTCTGTGATTCTTTACTCAAGTATAGGAAGTCATAACAATCTCAATTAAGGATCTTCCTCAACTATTCTTACAAAAGGGAATGTGGCTATTGAGTTTTTTGGTTGTCAAGGCAAGTTGTTTGGTCGTCTTGTTTAAGTATAGGTTGTGTATTAGTATATTTACGTATAATTAATAATCAAAAGTCCAAACTTAACCAAACAGACACATTATTTCCCACTTGAAGTAGGGTATCATGAGGGTGAGATGTGAACATGCCTTGCTCTACCCTAGGAATAGAGGCTGTTTTCATGAAGCAAAAACTATATCTCTTTTATGATTAAGTAATTGTTCATCTGTTATTAATTAATCGTTTGTATGCCATTTTTCATGTATGCATTTCTGGTCTCATCGTTTTAGAACTATGTTAGCTTGCTTGATGCCCTTAAAAAGTCATCTGATTTGATGTTTTTGCTGATGCGCATTAAATTATCTTCTTCTTTTAGGATACAGAGATCATAGAACAGATTGAACGTGATGTCAAGCGTACTCACCCAGATTTTCACTTTTTCTCTGGAGACACACCTTTTGCAAAATCCAACCAGGTAAAACTCTACTTCCCTACGCTTGAAATTGATCATTATTCAGTTAATTAGCTTATAATTATGTGCCTTGCTCCTTTCAGGAAGCTCTGAAAGATATTCTCATTGTATTTGCTAAACTTAATCCTGGTATAAGATATGTGCAAGGAATGAATGAGCTCCTGGCACCACTCTTCTATGTGTTCAAAAATGATCCCAATGAAGAATACGCAGTAAGTTATTTCTTATTTCATTTTTGTTATTGCAGACCCACACTTGAGCTACAACATGTATATTTTTGGGCATCCTTCATGTAGTATTTACTTAGACCGCTTTCTGCATAATTTCCACATCCATGAGTTACACTAGTGTCATTCTTGAATAATGTAAAAGATCATGGGCACATTCTCTTTATGAAGAGCTTATTTAATAACACTCAAAATGGCATAAATAGTTGAATTTGCTGAAATAATTGTTGTGCTTGGTTTGGTTTGGTTTGGTTTGGTTTGATTTGATTAATCATCTAAACCGATATTTGAAATAAATACTACCTCCGTCCCGCTATGATTGTCCCATTTTACCTTATCGGTCCGTCCCACTAAGATTGTCCCATACCAAATTTGGTAAATTTTGTGTGGCTCTAAATCACTCTTACTTTATTTTTACTTTATCAATTAAATATCAACCATATAAACCACTTTTTATTAATTTGTGTGCCACTCCCTCTTGTCCCATTGTTAGCGGGACGGAGGGAGTATATTTTTAGATAAATTGGAGAAAAACTTTCAAAGTATCTAAAAATATAACAAAACTTTTCAATTTTCTTCTGTTCAGAAAAAAAATGTGCTTATTCATTATTATCCGATTCAGCTAATATGTTTTGTTAAAAGTATGGCTCATAAAGTAGCTAAGCCAAAATTAACACCTACAGGCTACAAACAGGGTCATAATCTGTGTTTTGCTTCGTGTCCCTAATTTTATGCTGCTGTGTCTTTCTTTGATAAAAAAAATGTACTCGCCAATATTGTTATTGCGCTTTCTCTGTTCGCTTGCTCCTAGGATGGAGGGAGCATTCCTTTTCTTAACAGGAAAGGATGGTATAGTAAATAATGAGGGAAGGGGTTGCAAATTTACAATCGCAGTTGTAGATCTCTCTCTCTCTCACTCTATCTGTCTGTTGGGGTAAAAAGTAGAATGGAAATGGACGAGAGGTTTCATGTTTCTCATCTACGTCTCATACGGTCGCTTATAGAATGTGAAACAAATCAGTTGTTTTAAAAAGTTATTTGCTCATCAACTTCAACTTGCAAGCTATGCAGGCTGCAGCAGAGGCAGACACGTTCTTCTGCTTTGTGGAATTGCTAAGTGGATTTCGGGATCATTTCTGCCAGCAACTTGACAACAGTGTTGTTGGTATCCGTTCTACAATTACAAAATTGTCACAGCTTCTGAAAGAACATGATGAAGAACTATGGCGTCATCTGGATGTGACAACCAAAGTAAGGTCTATCGTGTCTATATGCCTCCCAAACCACTCATTTCTAATTTTTATCTTCCAAGTTTCCATTACATGCACCTGATCTACTATAGGGGTATAGCCGACATAGTTCACTAGCAAAGCAATATATATTCAAGGGAAGAATAAAAGTGGAACTTTTGGTCCGTCAATTAAAGATAAATATTGGATTTGGACCCTCAATTATCTGGGTCACCACTCTTGGTCCACATTTTCTTCTCCTTTTGACTCTGATATCATGGATCGATTCATCTTAATAGACCTCAAAGAATTTTGGGAATAAGGCTTGGATGTTGTTGTTGTTTGAGAAGAAAACTTAGATTCTGAGATAATTGCAATGGCTTAATATAGCAGCTGAATACTAACAATCATGACCCTAATAATTGATGTACTATAATATAACTTCTATTTCACTAGATTTGAGCGGGGGAGGGTGACATTTCCTCTAATTTCGTTTCCACTACATTGATTAACTCAAAGCAAAAGGTAATAAACAAATGTCGTATCGTGTCACCACCAGTTGACTCTGATGGATGGATAACCCGCATGGTAGTGGTGGGGGTTATATATATCGTTTGCCACTGTAAAGGACTGAAAAGGACTCATCATCATCATTACCCCAATGCCGCAAAGGCTCCCACACCTTCAGTGGGGTAAAGGAGGTCGGATGTACGCAGTCTTACCTCTTTACTAAAGCACAAAGACTTTCCGGATGACCCATAGTGAAAATCGCGTCGCAAATTGCATGGACCGACTGTTGCTTCATAACCAAAGAAGCACAGTTTAGTAAGTCATTTTGTTTTATTCCATCATTTTCTCAAGCCAAACAATAGTGAGTCTTCGGTGGGGTAAAGGACTGAAAAGGACTGAGGGTCCATTTTCTTTCCGTATATAATAGTGAAAGAAAATTGAGAGCAATAAAGAGTGACAAATTTGCAGGAAATAGAATATGTTGGGGAATTCAAACTCAATAAATAAATCATTCTTAGTTATATAAACCAGTCAAACACGAATATTTACCTCTTCCTTCATATTTGCAACATAATCTAAATGACTTGAAGTCTTGAACTAGGCATGGCAATTGTGAGGGTAGGTACTTGTGTAGCCCTGTAAAAAGATTGTATGCATGGATTGTTTTTTGGACTTCGCCAATGTGTGAAGGGATTAGAATTTTCAGAAATGGATTATTATCTTATTTTACATGTAGAGGTCTTTATTAAAACTTATTAGGCTAAAGGGTCAAATTGGCCCCTGTACCGGTCGTGTAAGCTCAATTCAGTCCCTGAACTAAAAAAATGTCCAATTCGCACCCTCAAACTATTAAAGTGTCAAAATTGCAATAAATTGAAAAAAAAACAGAAACAATAAAAAATTAAAAAAATGACCGGTTGTTTACCCATAAAAAATGAAATTTGAACCATTTTTTGTCGGTTCGGGGTGCAAATTGAACCTTTTTTAGTTCAGGGACTGAATTGAGCTTGCACGACCGGTACATGACCTATTTGATCCTTTAGCCAAATTATTATAGCTTTATAGAGTAGTATTTACCTGGGTTGTATAAGTTGCATATTAGATTATCATGATTCTTACTTTAGTTCAACTTTAACTTCAATGCTTGACTTTCGTGTATCAGAATTTGCCCCCTGCTAATGGTGTTTTTTATGCTGGCTGCACATAACAGGTTAATCCACAATTTTATGCATTCAGATGGATAACTCTTCTTCTTACCCAAGAGTTCAATTTCGCAGACAGCCTTCTTATTTGGGACACACTCCTCAGTGACCCTGAAGGCCCTCAGGCAAGTGTTTGTGTTATGGGCATCCTTTTTTCTTTTCTTCTTCCTGGGGGGCAATTTTTCAACTTTCATCCACATCCTTTTTTTGGGTGGTCCCTACTAATTTAAAAATAAAATTATTTTCTTTACATAGGTTAATATTTAACGTGAATCACATGATCATGGACCAATTCTTTCAGTTATGTTACGACTTTTGGGACTAGAATAAATAAACTTTTGAACTTGACTTTTTTTGGGAGGGAGGGAGTGTTTTGTGTAATAACTAGTTTATACTCCGTATGTAGGAAATTACTTTGGACCTCTATAGATTATTAATTAAATCTAAAAATGAAGTTGCCTATAATTCGAGATTTTGAACTATACCCCTCTAGTCCTCTTTATTTATTTATCTTCTAATCACCGGTTTGATTTAGAAATAGAGAATATTTCATTTGTTGACTACAAAGTATTTTCTCTGCACTGTCCACAACACTGCTTTTTACTATTTGCCTTAGGGTCTCGTAGGAAAACAGCCTCTCTACCTCTTTGGGTAGAGGTAAGGTATATGTAGCCCATATCATACTTCCTAGTTGGAGTATTTAAGAGGACAGTTCGTATCAGGCCGGTCTGACGGAAACCGCCTTCAGGCCGAGGCCATTTGGGAACTTCCCAGTGGATTTTTTTGATCATGTTCCTCATCAAGTCTAGTTTATCCATACCAAATTTCAGTTAAAAAGTCAATCGGGAAAGCAGTCAAATAAATTCTTTACAAAAACTGTGCTTTATATATATATATATATAAACAGCGCAGTTTTCTTCATCAATTTATTTGACTGTCTTCCCGATTGAATTTTTAGCTGAAATTTGGTATGGATAAACTAGACTTGATGAGGAACATGCTCAAAACGTTTCATCAAAAAAATCCATCAGGAAGGGCCTCTGATGGCCTCGGCTGGACGGCGAGTTCTGTCAGGCCGGCCTGACAGGATCGCTACTCGAGTATTTAATTACTTTATGCATAGTGATTTTTCTTTGCTCTTTGCTGTGGTCTTGCTTACAGGAAACCCTGCTCAGGGTGTGCTGTGCAATGCTTATCATCGTTCGGAGGCGCTTACTAGCTGGTGATTTCACCTCAAATTTGAAGCTACTCCAAAACTATCCATCCACAAATATCTCCCACTTGCTATATGTTGCCAACAAATTACGCACTAAGCCAAGTGCCTAAACTTTAATCCACAAAATTTACTGTGATATTACTTCATGGTGTTTGTTTGGATACATATATTGAAAAAAAAAGCTATATTTTGTAACATGTAGGGTGTAAATGTCAGATTTCTAGCGAGATTTGTCATATATTCTTTTATTTCTATTGCTGCTTGCCCCATAGCCTTAAGTTTTTTTACTTGTTTCTTTCAACAGTCTGTTACAAAACTTTATTATTTATTATTTATTTTTAGAGAAAGGAAGGGAGTTTATGTTTTCAGTTCTGTTTGGTAATAATTATAGATTAGAGGATACTCGGTGATACTCCCTTCATCGCATTTCATCTTTTCCAGTTACAGAATTCCTATCATTAGTCGAACTGTATCTTTATTCTCTCCACACTTTCTTTAATAGTAGTATCATTTTATTAGTTAAACTCATTGAATTTTTGTAGTTTTTAATATCTAAATTTTATTTGATTTAGTACAAAGTGCTAAATTCTGCCAGGCTTAAATTGAAAATATCTCTCGTCTCATTTCCAATTACAAACTCTATTCTCTTTTAGTATGTCTTTTATTAAACATTTGTACCATTTTCCTTTTTTTCAAATGCGTGCCTTAATTCTTATTATTTTTCTTGAAAGGGTGTGCCGTATTTAGGGATGGACCCTGGCCGGTCCGGGTCCAGTTCCGGGCCGGGCTCGGGCGGGTTTTTTTCCAAATTGTTGGGCTCGGAACCAGCCCGGGTTGATACCGGGTCCGGGCCTAATCGGGCTGGGCCGGGCCAGACCCGGGTCTATGTAATTTTTATTTGCTTTCCAATTAACCCCGACCCCCCCCTCACCCCCACCCCTCAAACCTCCCCAAAACACCCAGCCCTACCCAAGGAAAAGAAAAAAATTGAAAAAACCAAAAAAAAAAAATGAGCCGGGTCCGGCCCGAACCGCCCGGGCCGGTTCAACAAAAATAGGGCCCGAGCCCGGCCCGCCCGGCCCGCACGGGCTAAATGCCCGGAACCGGCCATCCGGTCCCAGTCCGGGCCCGCACAGTAGCGGGCCGGTCCGGTTCATGGGCCGGTTTGGCCCGGTTCGGTCCATCCCTAACCGTATTTCCTCTTTGTCAAAGAATGTATAGTTCACAACATTTGTTCCTAGTTTCTCTCCTCTGCACAACTTTAGGTTACACATTTCTTACTTTCTTAATCTGTGTGTCAAGTTTGACTAGGAGTTAACAGAGGGTGTACTACGCATTATATATTTATATGGGTGATAAATTGGTGACTATAGTAACTGTCAAATGATGACACTACGGAGTAAATGTTTTTATTTATTTATCCGACAAATGCTTGTTTAAACTGTAAGTTTTGATGAATACTGTTGGGTCAAACATGAAGCACATATGAAAGTGGAGTTAAAAAGGATAAAATATAAGATAATAACGATAAAAAAGATATAGATAAATTAAAAGATAAGATAAAAAGATAGCAGTAAAAAGATGAAGAACACAAAAAAATAAAGGATAAAAAAGATAAAATGATCAATCCCTAACACATATTTAATGTTGGATGAAAGCCTGAGTAATACTTGTGAGCTTTGGTAATCTAGATTTAATAAAATTGGGTGCATCTAAAGTAGGGATGGACTCGGGCCGGGTGGCCCGACCCGGAACCGGCCCGGGACCGGTACTGTTCCGGCCCGGCCCGACCCGGTGGCCCGGTCAGTGACCGGTCCGGGTAGGCCCGGCCCGTGGGTTTTCCGTTCCGGGCTCGGGTCACCCAAAACAAGGCCCGACCCGGCCGGGCCCGGTCCCGGTTCGGGCCAAAAACTATTTTTTTTTCAATTTTTTTTACATTTTCGGGTTGGGCTGGGTATTTTGGACCATTTGGGGTGGTTTGGGGGGTTGGGGGTGGGAGGGGGGTTGATTAGGAAGAGGAAAACAAAAAAAAATATAATGGGCCCGGCCCGGCCCGGCCCCGGCCCGGACCCGGTGGTTACCCGGGCCGGTCCCGGGTCCACCATTTCTGACCCACCGGCCCGCCCAGGCCTAGGCCCGACCCGGACCCAGCCCGGACCTGAGTCCATCCCTAATCTAAAGTGTACATACAAAATATTTGGATAATTATTAGGTTCAAGTCATGAGAAAATTCATCTGTCCTAACTCCTAACCCATTCATTGGTAAAAAAAATCTCCTAACCCATTCTCGGGCATAGAAGGACAGACTTCTTGTTACTTATTTCTTACGTTTGAATTCCACTATTACAAATCATTCAAATTTGTGAAGCAAACAATGAATATACCATTTAGCCCCACATGCTTCAAATCCGGGTGCAAAAGTTTAATGGTATACTTCTGGCAACCCATAGTGGAAAGTTAAAATACGCCGCCAAAGATACAAAGCTCAAAGGTTAAACCCTTCGATAACTTTCCTGAGCTACAAGCCTTTGTTTATATCCTCCTTCAGTAGCAGGGGCCATTGTGCCAGGTGGAGTACTTTTTACTAGCTATTAATTAGGCATTGATGTTTGATTATGGTTAGAAGTGATGCCCGTGGAAGTATAAAAACAAGTCATTTCTCAAACCAAAACTTATAGGCTGTATCTATCTGTGCCAACCGAACTCACATTTCCTGCTTCCTTCTCCAGTCTACTCTCCAACACTTCCAACACATCATCCGGTGGACACTTGTGAGCACTGTATGCAGCAGCCGATTTCTGGCAAAAACATTCTGGCCACGAATTTGTATAGAATGATTCTGGTGAAACCCTCTTGTGAGGCCCGCCGAAATTAGTTTTCAACATGACTCGCCTGACCGCTTCTTCAAACTCCTCACTCTTCCTCCCCTTCTCTCTATCAATAAAGATAGGGGCAAGATTTTTGCGGTCCGGTCTTATAGTAGTGCGGAAACCATAGTAGAGTCGGTGTCCGAGGAGGTTATTGGCAAAGTTGCTCGGACCATCATAGGTTGGCATGAAAATGTCGGACAGGAGACATACCATGTAATCCACAGCGGAACCTAGCAATCCTCTGTTGTTCCTTGATAATTCACCTGAGGTGTCGACCGTGCTATGATTCTCCAGGCGTGGAAACATGGACCTCAAAGGCTTCATGAACCGTTCCCCGCCGAATAGATCGCCTGCCGCTAAATATATCCTCGTAGAGTTGTCAAACCCAATCGCGTGCAAGAGTAGACCAACCTGCATTTACACCGACAGTAATAGGTAAATTTTATGACATGTTGAGCTATTGTAGCTATTCAGTAAAGGGGGTTTCCTTATCGGCCAAGTCATTATATGAATCTTTTTGAAAAAACTCTTTTCTTTAATACTCATGTCCTCTCCGTTCCAAAATATGAATACTTTCCTAATTTTAATTTGATCTCCACTAGTCATTTTTGTATTTCAAAAGTCTAGAGGTAAATCATAAAAAAAGTCTTGAGGTAATACTTTTGTCCTTTTTCCAAGAATAATTCAAGTCACCCACCCAGTCCTCGAAAAGTTCTATACACCCAAAAGGAAAAACATTAAGCAACATATATGATTACCTCTTCTGGAGTTAATGGGCATTTCCCAATTGCCCGCCTTTCACTATAGACAAGTTTCTTCTCTGCAAAATTTTCCATCCTATACTTTTTCAAGATTTTTTGCTCTCCAGGGGTAAATATATCATAACACCTGGATGAACATATTTCAGGTTAAATGCTTCAATGGTCAAGAACCATGCACCATGGCAGAACTTATGTCTTTGAACCATCGCCAATTCGCCATATTTCTTTGCATAAATCGTGAAACCCCATAACTGTCATTAATAAACACAATGCTATACTCTCGCCTAATTTTTATCAAGGAACGTGAGCTCCAATCCCTAGGTGCATTACATAAGATAGGGGAGAGAGATGGGAGTTCACTACATCATTCTTCTTATAATTCTAATTTTCATTTGAGTAGCACTTTAAAGGTCTACTTGAAACTTGGAAGATTCCAAGGAAAGATTTTAAAAATGAGGAAAATAGATGAACCATTTGGAAGGAAAGGTAATGTAAGAAAAAAGGTTCAAACTCAAGAAATAACTGTAGGTATTTGTTTGGAATCTTATTATTTGTATATAGTACTATTTTGTAAAAAAAAATGCTGTTTGTACACTACATTTTACACGCCAGTCAAATTGTTTGTGCACAGACAATTTTTTTTCGTTTTGTGAAGAGACTCATTTTTCGCACCGACAATTTCGACAATTTTTTTTGTCGGTGCGAAAAACGGTTCTCTTCACAAAGTGAAAACAAATGCCTATGCACAGACAATTTGACCAGCGTGTAAAATGCCGTGTGCAACTAGTGTGTACATGAAGCATGGTTGTTTTTATAAAAGCTAAGAAATCTAAATGTACATAAAATTTTGAAACGTTTAAATCATACTTCATATATTCCTGAAAAGGCTTCTCTGAGATAGTGTAGTTAACTAATGCAGAGAAATTTTGAACCACACAGTTCTTACCGTAAAGGGAAAAACTATCCTTATTTTGCGATTGACGAAAAAGGAGGGATGGGGGCCTTTCAGGAACTGAAGGAATATTTGATTTTCCTTCACACTTTCCAAAGTAAAATCAAACATTATTGGTTATTTTCCTTGCCATTGTTCCCCTTCCCCTACGGGCTACGGCCCTACCATTTTCCGAGTTCTAAACATAGCCTGAGGACATGGTGTATTTAAGCCTTTCTCCGCTCACTACCAATTATGATAACATACTTGTTTATAATTTCCAATATACAGTACGTGTTTTGGAAACTCACCCAGCGAATGCCAGCATGTCCATCTCAAACCGTAGGTGTATTGACATAAAGTGCCCTTGAGTACGAAGTCTATTCACAATTGCAGTGCTCAGTTCCATAATATGTGGCTTAAACCTAAGAGCGTGATAGTTAACTCTACACCTCAGTCGTTGGTACTCGGCATTGTCAATCTCTTCTGCCAGACGGTGTGAAAAGGGAGTTAGATAAATAGCACCATGTTCCTTCATCTTCTCAATAGCAACTGTTGTATACCAACTAATAGGAGCATCTCTTGGTGGCCTAAGCTGAATCATAAAAAGGTTATTATATTGCCAATTATTGTGTTAAAAATAAAAGCTTGTGATCATACTCCATGGACATAATAGATCATTACCTGAAATGCTTTTATTTTCTTAGTCTTCCCCTTTTTCTGAATTTCAGGAATCCTCCCCACAATTTTTACATCATACCTCAATGTGTTGATAAAATGCTCAACATCATAGATACCATGAAAACCACTGGCCATCAACAGAGGTAATAATAACTTATTAACAGCTCAGTTGATTGATGCAAAAAAAAAAGAATAAGTAATCTAAAATCCTCTTAGACAACAAGATAACGTCGATTACAAGCTGTTTAAAACGTACGCTTCTAGATAAGTAGCATATCTAGTTTATGTAACGTAATTTCAACTTTAAGAGCTACTTATTTTCAAAAAAATGATTTATATATACATGACTGAATTTAATGTAATTGACTACTATTATCAATCGATAATCTTTCAATGAGCAATAGTGAATATTCACACCAATAGAGAAGCATATCTAAACATATACTCCATATGTAATATAACAAAGAGACACTTTCATTCCATATGCTACTGACCCTATTGTAAGTCGGTAAAAACAAAAAATCATCCCTCTTCAAGACTTCAACTTTGAGTCTCAAACCATTCACACAGTTGAAAACGAAGTTAGAAGAAAAACTTAAGAAAATAAAGAATGGTGAGGGCCTTGTCAAAATCCATTAGGATGTAAAGGAAGGGGGGGGGGGGGGGGGGGGGGAAGAAGTTATGCCCCTCCTAAAAAATGCCAGCATTTCTGATCCCCTTAAACTTGGAAGGATGGGTTAAAATTTTATTAAACATACCCTTCCAGTGGTTGTTAAAATAAAATTGAAAAATAGTAAAAATTGACTAAACATAGCCTTTCGGTGATAGATAAAATAAAATTGAAAAATTGTATATTCTCATAACATTGTAGATAGACATCAGCTTTGAGAATATTAAGAATGTTAAAATGAAAGCATAATGCTTCCTTGCTGTGATCGAAATAAGATCTCTGTGCAAAAGTACCTGTCATCATGCCAGAATGAGTTTGCATCCAACTCAGGCAGCACAAGGGTCGCATTCATAATTCTTGCAGCAAGTACTGCATTACAAATCTAAAAATCAAGGATTTGTTATCTTAGTTAAATCCCTCAAAGTTATACAACAAAATGGATCTTGATATAAAAGTATCTCCTAAAAATAATCTGAGGAAGACTGCAAGCAAAGGTCATAGCTTTGTAGGTTCAGTTTCTATAAAAAGAATTATGTAGCATGAACATATATACCTCCTCATAACGAAAGCATACGCTTGAGATAGAAAACAAAGAAAACTTAGGCAATCCCATGAACTTTACAAGGGAAAAGAATTTAGGCAAGCGAGAAGATGAATTGCAACATAGAAGCTACAACATGTAGTTACAAATATGAGTGCACTTATTTCATGCAAGTTGTAGAGCAAGAAAATAATTGTGTTATCTTTTCCTGTTTGAAGTCAGGATAAGCCATATCACATTGCACAACTACAACAAACACAAATCCAATTTGCCTAGATTCTGTAAAGACTGAAGACTGAAATTGATTGCACCTGCTAAACGAAAAATACTATTTGTCTTGCTATAACTGCTTACAATTAATCAAAATATCAACAGTCATAAAAGGGGATTTCCAATGAGAAGAAGCACAAAATGCATATGTATAACATATATACTGAGTGAAGTGAATGTAAATACATTTATTCAAAACAGATAACTACTCGAGGAATATATCAAGATCTACTATAGTAGAATGATAAAGAATGACTACAGACCGCACTGCGTTGTTGATTCAGACCACCATTGCAGCGAACACGCAGATACCCATTGGTCTCACTAGAAGGAGCTGCACGAAAAATGAAAAGAGAGAAGATAAGGTTTGAACCTGTTAAACTGTATGAGCTTATAGAAAGGCCTTGTCTATAAACTATGACAAAGAAACTTCATACGAGGCCAATCAGAACGTGGTGCAGATGATGGCCTCCAGCCCCCAGAATCTGCAGTTCTCCAAAGTGTCTCTACATCAATCTGTTCAGATATACGGAGTATAAGAATAAACTGAACACTTCAACACCAAAGACAACTAAATAAGGTTAAGTAAATTCTTTACAAAGTTACAAGACGCATAATATATATGAGTATATCTCTATGTCCTAGAATCAAGCTTCCATTTTGGTTTACGCAGTTCTGATCATAAATTTGATTCTACCCTACTAATATTTTCTATTAGTATTAATAGTTCAAATCAACACATTTAAAAACCAGGTCAAAAAACTTCATTGAACCGCAATTACCAAATTTGAATATGAAAAAATTTTGATGCAGGAAGAGTGAATCGGTTCAATTATTGAGGTGCTATAAATGCACAACAATGTAGAGCAAATAAAAGAGGGAGCCATGCATGTACTCCTTCCCTCGCAAAATAGTTTTCCAACTTTGACTGGATCAGATATTAGACAGTGAAAACAGTGTGATTGCGATGTATTTAAAAGGGAGAGAAACAATGTGAACCATAAATTTACTTCCTTGAAGGAAAAGTAACAAAGTTTTTTGGGACAGCCGGTTTATAGAAATTAGAAAACTATGGTGGTACAGAGAAGTACTACAAATACACACGGATACAAATTCCTAGAACCTCAGAAGGATAAATACGATAAGACGATAGGGATTTAATGCAGGCAAAATGAGTACACGGAAAGAGGAGAAAGGATTGCTCTTTGAGGCACGTGGGTTTGAAAAGATACCAATTTGAAGGTCATGAATTTCAGTTTCTCAATATAATTTGTTCCTTTACCTTACTCAACTATTTATTCTATAGGTGTTCATCCAAGTTCCCTGTAACCAGGATAGGTCGAAAATTGCCTAAAGGTATAATTAATACTCTTTAGCTCACCAACTTCTTAACTAAAACTCTTAATTTTCATAACACTGAAAAATGTCTATTCAGTTAAACTTCAAGTAACAGAATCTCATCTATACAATTTATAACCTGTGCTTCTTATCAAATCCACACTCACATTGATCACTCGTTAGATCCAACAAGGAACCATGACATAGAACTTCGCAATTATATACTCCGTAGTAAACAATAGGAAGCTGCAAACGTATTGAAACAGAGATGAAATCGACCTCGGCTGGAGAGTTATTATTACTCGTCATGGAAGCTGAGAAAAGCCAAACCATACAGATCACAAGTACGATAGCAGCAACTGTAAGCTTTCCAAACATTCCCTTCACTCCCAATCCCAAATGCTGCTTCAGCTGGTGCCGATGCCCCGGCCTGCTCTTACATATCATCAGATCCACACAGCAGTGGACACATAAGAGAGCGTTGACATAGAAACGTTTACAGAGATCCCGAGGTAAACATACCTTCGCATTTTCGAAGAGAATGTGTGATCGGAGCTTGTAGAGTTATTGAAGGATATATCTAATTGAATATCTGTCAGCTCGTAGGGGTGCAGTGCCACTTCCGGGTGTCATACGCATACTCTGAAGTCTGAACAGAAACTACAATCACAATCGAGTTGGAAGAGTATGAGAACGAGCAAAAATGGTGCCTTTGGTGAATGAAGAACCAAATTTGGCGCGCATGGAAGGGTGGATTGGAGAAGATGAACTTAAAGATCCTTCCACTTCTCAGGTCTCAATTGATATCCATACTCCATGACGAGATCATCCCAGTTAAACGCTGTCCAGCATTACAAACGAGTCTGGGTGGGCAAACGGGTACACCAATCCCGGGTAATACGAGTTCGGGCGGGTCAGAGGCGGTCCTAATTTTGGAAAACCGAGAGGGGCGGGCCAGGTTGGGTCTAAAAAATGGGTACCCGGACCGACTCATTTTAAAATATTTTTTTTTGCAAAAAGTCTATTATATTTAATATAATATACTAACTGATGGAGTATATTGGCCTGGACCCCAGGGCTCACATACTCGGAAGGACATAAGGTATCACGACCACCTGGTGGGATTCTCGTCGGCCAGATGACTCTCATCGGCCAGAAAGAAGTCTACTCAGAATGTGATCCAGAAGCCAGGAAGAGCCGGTGACCTCGTCGGCCGGGTCTTCGTCGACCATGCCCTCATCGGCCATGCCCTCGTCGGCCGGGTCTTCGTCGACCATGCCCTCATCGGCCATGCCCTCGTCGGCCAAAGACAACTTCCAGAACATGATTTACACTTAGTCTTTTCTATGCACTTTGTATCCGGTCCATTAGTGGGCCTATTGTAAATGGACCTCCCAAGCCCAAGACTTGAGAGCCCAGCCCTAATTTTTCCTATAAATACTCCCTCTCGGGGTAGTTGTAAGGGTTCACGATTCATTAATACAAAGCAATTATACTACTTCTCTCTCTAGCTCTCACTTCTCTCTAGGCTTATAGTCTATCATTTGGTGCTTTCATTGAGAGCTAGAACAATCAAGTTAGCCTCCTTCGTCGCTACCAAGCACAACTAACTGACAATGGGAAGAACTAAGTCAAACCGCAACCTCCTCGGCAAGGTCATCCCTGAGGCTCAAGAGAACCAAGAACACGAGGAGGGCGCCACGGCCGACAAGGTCGCCGAGAGGGGTGTCTTCAAGGAAGCCATCGACCTCGTAGGAGACCTGCGCAACAAGCTCAACGGCGGCGCCCCTGACGCCCGCCTCGGCTTGGACCAGAAGCGTGCGGAGAAAGGCGACAATGGCTCGGCGCAACCGGCCTCTCCTGCTATTGACCCTCAGCTTCAGGCTGCGCTCTCGGCCATCATCGCCAGCTTGGTCCAGAACCCCACCGTCCTCAGCGCACTCATGCCAAGGACGGGGGAGAACACGACGCCGCCTCCTCAGCCCCAGCCATTGGCCGTCAGGCTAGGCAACGATGAGGGGGTGGTGCCCCAGGACACGACGTCGTCCCACTCCCACCCTGCTTCCCCGCTTCGAGCTGGACTGACCCCAACGCGTGGAAAAGCCTCAGCCTTTAACAGGCTAGGTGACACGTGCCAATGGCCTGCTTCGGAGAGGATGGCGGGGTGGATTGGGCAGCGTGAGCCTGGCTCACCCAGGGAAAGCTTGGGGTCGGTATCCCGGACAGCGGATCGGCCCCGCCTGGACAAAGGCAAGGGGAAACTGCATGAGGATGATGCCCGTCACCAAATCAACACGGCTCATGCAACCCGCTTGCAGACTCAGGGCGCCACCATGGCCGCCAGGGACCCCAGGGACGAGGTGATCGCCCAACTCGAGTGAAGGCTCGCCCAGATGGAGGCCAAACAGCTGGCCGCCACGCCCACCGGCAACTCATCCAGAGACCCCGGCTTCAGCGCCCTTCTAAACAAGGTCACCATCCTTGAGAGGGAGTTGGCCGAGGGACGAGGAGACCCCATCATTCAGGTCAGGACGAGGACTCCCTTCACCGCCAGGGTACTCTCGGCCCCCATCCCCGAGAAGTACTAGGGAAACGCCATCAAGCCTTACGACGGCCGTTCCGACCCCCAGGAGCACTTCAGCCGCTACCAGAACAATATGCTGATGGTGAACGCGTCAGATGAATACCTCTGCCGCTGGTTCCTTTCCACCCTTGAAGGCCCAGCGTACGAGTGGTTCAACGCGCTCCCCAAAGGGAGCATAGACTCGTGGCAGGACCTTGTCCTGCGCTTCCTCACTCCCTTTGCTAGAAGGAAGCGCGCGAAGAAGTACTTCACCCATCTTCTCTCCGTCAAGCAGCAGCATGACGAATCACTCCGGTCGTTCATCGACCGATGGACGAGAGAGACTGATGAGGTCGAGGGGGCCGATGAGCGCACCCTCCTGGTCCTGTTTCAGGGTGCCCTCCGCAGCACCCCATATGTGAGGAGCCTCATCACTGACCCGCTGAGGTCCTATCTAAAGGTGCTTCAGTGAGGAAACTTGTACGCTGACGCCGACGAGCTCCACAGCCACAAGAAGGACGGAGGGCACCCCTCCAGGAAGACAAACGCCGCGCCAGCAGCAGGCGCACCCTCGGCCGGGGACCGAGGTCAGGGAGGAAGAGGCCGCCATGGATCTGGCAGAAAAAACAAGGACCGCATATGGCGGCCGAGGATGGAGAGGCCGAAGATCCCACTTACTCATCCGGTAAGCTCCATCCTCGATTACGCCAAAGAGCACGCCCTCATTGAGAGAGGCCCTCGGTCGGCCAAGGAGATCTACGCCGTTCATCAGGGCAGCACCTACTGCCGTTACCACCGGAACACCTCCCACAACACGGACGACTGTATCACTCTGAAGAGAGCCATCGAAAAGCTAATTCGTCAGGGGGAACTCTCCCAGTTTGTTAAAGGTGGCCCGCGCAAAAATATGTGGGTAAACACCGGCAAACATGGGGGTGAACCCTCTGCGAAGAAGCGCGAGATCGGCATACTCAGCGATGACGACGAGGACTTTGAAGAGCCCCCTCCGAAGAAAAACCACATCAACCTCATTGTGGGGGGGCAACATCGGGGGGACTCGGCCACCCAGAGGAAGAAGTGGGCCCAATCCCTCTACATCGGGGAGGTGTCCCACGCTCCCCCAGCCGAAGAAGAACCGGACGGAGGCGATCACCTTCACCTACAAGGATCTGCCTCCGGGGCCCGCATCACACAGGGATGCCCTCGTCATCCGGTGCGAGATAGGTGACTCTATCATCCACCGCACCTACATCGACACGGGGAGCTCCGTCAACGTCATGTACCTTGACACCTTCAGGCAGCTAAAGCTGGATAGAGCGCTGCTCAAGCCGATACGGACACCGTTGTCCGGCTTCACCGGGGACTCTATCGACGCCGAGGGCACGATAGTCCTCCCCGTGGAGGTCGGAGACGACTCCCATCGCACCAAGATCGACATGGAATTCATGGTGGTCAACCTCGAATGTGCCCACAACTTGATAAGGGGCGGCCAACACTAGAGGATTTGGAAGCCATCATTTCCATGAAACATCTGTGTCTGAAGTTCCCCACCAGCGGCGGTATCGGCTACGCCCGGGGAAACCAGAAGATAGCCCGGGCATGCTACCTGAAGCTGACAAAGCCGGCAGCTAACACCGGGCAGAGAATAGGCACCATCACCGCCGCCGTCGCCAAAGACGAAGAAAGGCCGCACGCCGAGCCAACCGAAGAGGTCGAGGAGGTCCTCCTGGATACCTCCTGGCCGGAGCGGGTCCTGAAAATCGGGAAACAACTCCCATAGGATCAACGCGACGGTATCCTCGACGTCCTGCGGTCATACTCAATCATTTTTGCATGGAGACCGGACGATATGCCTGGCATCAGCCGAAAAGTGATCACTCACCAGCTGTCAGTCGATCCCGACTCCACGCCGATCAAGCAGAAGCGGCACTACCTCTCGGCCGACAGACGTGACTTCGTCAAGAGGGAGGTTACCATGATCCTCTTAATCAACCACATAAAAAAGGTGAAGTACCCAACCTGGTTGGCCAACGTCGTCCTTGCCCAAAAGCCACCGACGTTCAGGATGTGCGTTGATTACACTGACCTGAACAAGGCGTGCCCTAGGGACCCATTCCCTCTCCCCAACATTGATCAATTGGTGGACGAGACGGCGGGGTGCAAGATGATGTCATTCCTTGACACCTTCAGGGGGTACCACCAGATATTCATGCATGAGGATGATGCCGAGAAGACAGCCTTCATGACCCCAGAGGGAATTTTCTGCTACCTCGTCATGGCCTTTGGGCTCAAGAACTCAGGCGCCACGTACACCAGAATAGTAGCCAAGGTCTTCAGAGCAGTCCTCGGCCGGACGATGGAGGCGTACGTCGACGACATGATCGCCAAGAGCAAGCAATCCGCCAGCCACGCCGACGACCTCCGGGAGATCTTTGAAATCATGAAGAAGTTCCAACTACGCCTAAATCCAAAGAAGTGCACCTTCGGCGTCCAGGGGGGCAAGTTCCTCGGCTACACGGTCAGCCGAAGGGGCATTGAAATCAATCCAGAGAAAATACAGGCTATTGTCAACATGGAGCCACCACGAAATGTGAAGGAGGTACAACGGCTGACGGGACGCCTTGCGGCCCTAAACCGTTTCCTCTCAAAATCGGCTGAAAGGTCTCTCCCTTTCTTTCAGATCATGCACAAGGCAAATGGCTTCAGATGGATGACGGAGTGCCAGCAAGCATTTGAGGAACTGAAGCAGTACTTAACATCCCCTCCCGTGCTTTCCAAACCTAAAGCCGGTGAAACCCTCTTCCTATACTTGGGGGTGAGCACATCAGCCATCAGCTCCGTGCTCATCCGCGAGGACGAAGGGGTGCAGAAGGCAATCTTCTACATAAGCAAGATGTTGCGGGAGGCCGAGCTCAGGTACTCTCCCATTGAGAAGACGGTACTGGCCATCGTCCACATAGTGAAAAAACTAGGGCACTACTTCCAGACCCATGTCGTCCACGTCTTAACTCAGCAACCCCTCGGCGCACTCATGTGGAGCCCCACCAGTTCCTCACAGATGGTGAAACGGGCGATCTTCCTCAGCCAGTTCCAGATCGAGATTAAGCCAAGGCCATCCATCAAGGGGCAGGACTTGGCCGATTTCGTCACCGAGTGCACAGCCAGGGAGACGGCCGCTACCACACCAGGGTCAGAGCCAGACGAAGCATGGACTCTCTTTACTGACGGTTCATCGGCCACCAAAGCTTGTGGTGGCGTCGTCGTCCTCATATCCCCTGAAGGGTTCAGAGTCTACTATG